CAAAGGCAGCGCCACATATAAAAGAGGCAGCACCACGTCAGCATGCCACGTAGACCAGAGGCAGCGCCACATATACCAGAGGCAGCGCCACGTCAGCATGCCACATACACCAGAGGCAGCGCCACGTCAGCCTCCCATGTTGCACCAAAGAAGCACCAGCGTGCTGCCTCCACCTTCTGCCGTCATCCCCAACGTGTGTGCACAGCCAGCATGAAGCCAGCGTTGTCAAAGTCGAGCCAACGTCATATCAGCATAGTAAGACTGAATGCTTGACTCGCTGGAGGCCAGCCTTAAGTAGCAGTCGTCAAGGTTGTCTGGCCTCGGGTGCATTTCCCCCAGTCGTCCAGATTGACTCACATCACAAGGCCCGGATTGTACAGTTGCAGACTTCTCCCTTGGACCTGATGCTGTCTGGGTACCTGCATACAAACAAGTGTTTGTGCTTGACCAGCAGCCTGGGCTAGGTACCTTCGGACTTTGACTGTTGGGTGGACCGACAGTTGACCAAAGTCAATTGTCACACGCCCAGGCCTTGAATTCGTGAAGGGCCTTTTCTGCCCTTGTTTGGCTTGGGCTGAGGGCAGCCAGGTAGGCCTTCTGATGACCCTCAGTTCCACGAGACATATGGCATGGGTTATTGCATTCTTGTCGTCCCAGTTTAATTACATCAATTCCTAGTTAACCCACGTTCATATGCAACAACAATATCAGGAGCAGTAGGTAAAAGTTCTTTCCTACTAAACCATCTAGCTTCAGATGGGGGTTGGGACTTGAACGTTACCTTATAATGCTTCTGAGGTCGTCCTTTGCCACCTGTAGAGAAATAGCCATGCTCCAATATTTTCTCAACTTCATAGCCCCCATTCATGGAGGGTAGAATCATAGATAGTCTATTTGGGAAATCGTCACTTTCTACATAAGGTAGCAGTTTAGACGCATGGAAGACAGGGTATGTCATGAGGTGTGGAGGTATATCTATACGATGGAAGGTCCATCTTCACCTCCAATGACTTTGAGAACTTCCTAGGGCCCATAGTAGACAGGTAGCAGTTTATGCGACACGTTTTCTTCTAAGGAAAACTCTTCAGACTTAACCAAGACAAAGTCCCCTTCCTGAAATTGTGAAGGACGACGATGTTTATTCGCTTGTTCAATCATTTGCAATTGGGCTTTCTGTATGTTTTCCTTCACCTTTTTAATATCTTCTTCATACAGAACTGCAAATTCACATGTACCTGGGGGTAGCTTTTGAATTTGGTCCCGTGTTAAAGCATCAACAGGACGTCTAGGCTTCCAACCTTTTTGTTGTGCGTTAGGTGTCCTTCCTGTGACAATATCTATACTATTGTTATATGCACTAGCAATTTTAGCCAAATTCTCGTCCCAATCAATCTGGTCAGGAAGGACATACATTCGCAAAAGTTGTTGACATAAACGGTTCATTTGCTCAGTTTGGCCATTCGTTTCAGGATGTCTGCCTGACGACATGGTCACGACGGAACCCATTCAGGAACTCTTGAATGG